CATATCGGCTCTTTTGCTTATCGCGACGTCTTCTAATTTCTCTGTTTTCATCAGCCAATATTTGCATCTCAGGATCGACTATTTCAGTTTCTCTTGATCTGGTTGATGTCAGGACCTTAGTCTTTCCTTTGAGCAGCCTATCATCGACCATGTTCTAATCTCCTGGGAAAGGATTATCATCAACTTTTATCTTTCGAGACGTATCGAATTTGAGCCTTCTTTGTGAATAGCCCTCTGTATATGCTGCCAAAAAACTCTACATTCATTAGAAGAATAAGATGTAGCGTTATGAAATTTGCAGAACCTCTTATTTTTCAACTGATCAGGAGGCAACATAACATGATTATTGGACAACTTGATCTGTCTCTTCTCGAGCAAGAAATCAAAGAGTTTGTCTGACTTTGTAACGTTGAAATCGTAGCTCTCTTCGACTCCTCTTCCCCAAGAATTTGGCACTATTATCGTCTTCTTACCCCAATTCCATTCAGCCATGGCAACCTCTTTTTCTTCACCGTCTTCATAGCCATCATCGACTGAATATAGATTATAGGCTTCGGCCATTGTGGTATTTTTCTGTAATCGGGTATCTCTGTGCATATTCTGGAACTGGCTATTGAGCGCTGCCACTCATTGAGCCAATTGACCCAAGTTATTAAACTCTTGTCCCAGCAGCTTCTCTCTTCATGTTGGCAGCATTTCTTGAACGGCCAAAGCAGCTATCTGATCATCGGCCAAGTTTAATGAGAAACACAAATTTCTAGTCTCTCAGAACCTTTAAAGAAACTCGGTGCCCGATTCATTAGTTCTCTGCCTTATAGTTGTTAAATCGATAATCTTCTTTTCTCCTGTTCCAGTATAAAAATATGTATAAAACTTTTTTTCTAGGTCAGCCCAATTGGCAATGGAGTTGACTGGCAGTGATAAAAACCAAGTGAAGGCTGGCCCTGACAGGGACAATGAGAAGAAATGAACTCGATGGGCCTCTTCAATGGATGGTTCGCCCACTGTGTAAGATATCGACTGACATATTCTATTGTGCTTGTGCTGTCTTGGCCAGTAAACTTAGCAAACTCTAGGAGCCTGTAATTTGTAGGAAGAGCGACCAAATCATATCATTCTGGATATGGACGTTTGTACGAGAAGGTCTGTCCTTTTGGCTTCAAATCAAACCGATTCTTCACCATCTCAGTCACTCTCAGCAATAACTCATCATCATTTGAATTTGGATTTCTCTATAACTGCTGACTCGTCTGTGGATTAAAATTTCGGGTACCTTAGTATCCTGGATTTGGAATCATGTGAAGAGTATTATAATCCGTGCCATAATGATATCTTTGTGGAATCTCTTTCTGCTGGATCCTTTGCTGGTTTGCTACTTGAAGTATCTGGTTATAGACGTTATGATCTATATCTCTACGGATCCTTTGAATTGATGATGCTATTTTTTGAGCCGACAATGGTATGTGGCCTGATGTGCTAAAATTAATCATCTGGTTCTGACCTTGCCCCGCCGGCTGTTGCACATACTGCATTGATGATCTAGGATTATACTGTATTTGATTCGTAGTAGCACCTTGAACTTGCTTAGATGAACTCTGAACTACCTGGACATCATCATTACCAGCTAGTGCTGTTTCTTGATGTCTAGTACAGGCTTGATTAGTCCCATAAGTCAATAGATGTGGAATATTGTAATAAGCCGGCCCAACCTAATCAACTGGAAATCTGTGAAACACCTCTTTCATGGTGTTGTGGAATGTGTTCAAGAAAACTTCATTATGGTTTGATATGGCATCATGAACATATTTGTTCACAGCTTCCACGAAGAAACGCCTGTCTTCAGCTTCATCTGCATCTGTCTACCCATGCAACCGAACTTTTGGTAGCGGATATTTCTGAACAATTGTATTGTCACATGTTTTGGTGTAGGACAACAAACACTTGTTCTGAAATTCTTCTATAGCTTTACTAATGATATCTTTATCTTCATTAGGTAGGTCTTCATAAGGTACCATAAGGATGTCGTTGTTGTAAGCCGCCATAATGATTATGGGGTTCCATTAGGCGTGCCAGAACGTGTGTCGGCACGAAAACGAGTCGACACACGAGCAAGCCGGAAGGGTATGCTCGATGGAGCTGGAGATCCGCCTGGCTTCAACGCAGGGGTAATCGATCCTGCGTATTCCTCCCGAGACGTGTCAGTCAATTTGACCCTGCAATTGACAAGGAGAGAAAGTTTATCAGTAATTTAAGGTGGAACGTGCGGTCTGTGCCCAGACAGTTCCAAGTGTGCCGCTTCGGGAGCAGCCATACAGGAAGAACGATTAAATAGCCGATACGCACAGAAATCGGCTGTTCCGGACTGTAAAGCTCGTGAGTAGCGATTAATTTCATATTGACAAGTATAATACTCATATATGTAAATAAGATCATCAGCTAGATAATATTGCTAGTGTAAAGCATTAAGCCGATGAATCTAATCAGGAAAAGATATAGCACGCGAACGATCAACTATCTGATACGAACGGATCTACAAACGCTCTGAATCTAATCTGTTACCACCAACAGTGAGGTTCGACCGGATCGATGGCAGCTATGATGATAGTAACATACTAAAACTGAAGAATCCGTAAAAACATCCATACTTCGACAGGTTTTTTGAAAGACATGTTATACGTGAAGGCTCGGATGAATCGACTAAAGTAGCCGATTCATGTGAAGAGAACTACAGCGTGTAAACAATCGACTATTTCACATGAACAAACATATGGACTCCTCAGACTCAACCTGCTATCTCTAACAGTGGGGTTCGACCGGATCGATGCAGCCGTGAAAAAGATAACGAATCAAACCCTTAAAGTACATAGATCTATTCACGCTTAACAGAATCATAAACGCACACCGTAGACGTTAATGCACAGGCGATCGACTATTTAGCCGATGCAGGCATAGCAAACAGCTAAGGTCACACCTAACCAGAAACAAATCTACTAACTAGCATCCTTCAATCTATAGTGCCATCAATGGGGATCGGCCGGATCGTTACAGCCATAATGGTGAACTATAAACTAGATTTAACTAGTCAGCAAACATCTTCAAGATTTATTCATGCCTTAACCATGTACTATGCATGATCAAGATCAAAGTAAAAACAGCCGACGAAACATAAACCGTCGCTCAAGGTAAACAATATTGTGTTGTAACAAAACGAACGACGGACCCAAAGGATATAAGGCCGATCTAAATTGATCTCGATCGGACAGATTGATGTTGCTGCAAAACTAATGACAATGAAAACATCAGCAAGATCGGTAACTTAATGAATCTACCAAAGATTGTCACTCTTAGGTAGAGCCGATAACTTGACCTTAATCTAATTCGAGCAGTAGAGGTCGACCGGATCGATGCAGCCGTACTTGAACTAGATAAGAGTCAATAACTAGCTTATACCAGAGTCGCAATGGAGGTAGACCGGATCGATGCAGCCGTACAAACAGAGGTATAAGTCATGACGGTACTTACAGATAAGCCGGAGGTCGGCCGGACCGATACAGCCCTGCTCGCTGAAGAGCTCGTCGAGATCTACTCTACTCCTACTCCTAAGGGTTGGCCGGAGCTGAAAAAAGTAAATGACTTGTATTTGATTGATTGTGTGTTCTTTATAATAACCGGGGTCCAGTATTTATATCCGGAACCTACGTATGAATCCTACTTAAGCACGACTCGTTACAATCTTTGGCATAAGACAAAACATTCTTAATTTAAGATAACTTAGACCCTAATCTTTCTCTTTTTGTAGAGTCCAACATGTTTTTTCTGATGCCAACCGTAACTTTTATCGTTATCTGCTGGCGCTATCTGAAGAGAGCCGATTCTAGTGTTGCATTCAAATCAGCTGATACTGACCTTTATGCAATTGATTCCTTGATGACATGATTTTGTGAGCTTTCGAGTTCCTGTAATTCTTATTTCTAAATTTTAATGTAAACAATATCATAAATATTAATATTTATATATATATATATTTTGATTAAAGTTAAAAATATTTAACTTCTTAGAAAATGGTCATGACATTCATTCGAGGACTGAGGGAGTACCTTAGTTAGGACCCACCTTAAGGTTGGAGGAGATTGTATACCATACGGACGCCTTAATAAAAGTAGAGCACAATCTATAGATAGATATTGATTAGATATAAAAGCAGTTTCATTTAAGCGGTTTCCAAACGCATCTACCTATTTGCATTGCATGCCATCTCTCATCCCCGCATCCCGACACAAAACATAAAATGATGAACTGATGATATACACACTTATTCTCTCCATCCAAAAAGAGTGTACTTTGTCTAAGTCAAACTATTCTAAATTTACCTAAAAAAATGTTAATAAGTAGAATCTCAAATAGTTGTACTATAAAAAATATTTTTCATGATAAATTTAATAATACTATTTGACATCATAGATAGTTTTATATTTTTATAAAAATAACTAAATTGAAGATTGTTTGACTTAGGACTTAGGCCCCGTTTAGGCTGCTTCAGTTGTCCTGGAATGGTGACTAGGAACCATTTCTATCAGGAATGACTATAATTTATATAGACAAATCCTCACCAAGAACTATTCCTACGAGGAACACCCCTAACCGAAAGTATTTTTATTTATTTTTTTTATAAAATGACTAGGAATCATGAAACTACTATTTAGCAAACGGGTTCTAATCACTGTAGTTAGAGGTGCGTCTTTTTGGACGGAGGGGTAGTATAGCAGAGGGTGATACAGGCCGAACAGGCTAACCTGCTTATTATTCCTGCCTTCCTGCATCGCAGTGGGCAATAGGAGCGCTGCATAGCCAATAGGCGACGGCGGCACTACCGCAACTCTGTTTAGGCACTGAACACCAGGGTCTTTTCAAGGCAAGTCGTCTGGGGGTTGCAGTGCAGGTTGCTGCTTTGGTAGCGCCTCTTGTCTAGTTCTCTTGATCTCTGCGGCGTTGCGCTCGTCATGGCGTCGCTGAGGGGGGCGAAGCGGAGGAAGCGCAAGCCCGAGAGGGCCTTGCCGGCGAAGGCGCCGCCGGTGCCGCTGCCCCTCGAAGGCGACTGGTGGGACGCCTTCTCCCGCAGGCTTGCAGCAGGTATACATACATACATCCTCCTGTCTCAACCATCTCCCACTGCGTGCTGTCCGCCTGGCCTGTCCCTAGCCATGCCCGCTTCTCGTGTCCTGCGTCGCTGCAACCTCGCCGCCGCGGCCCCCGGTAATGCGTGCTAACCCTCCCGCGTTTAGGATTGTTCGTGTGGTGGATTCGGCGCTGCCAGATCAGGAGGACGGTCCAGAATTTGCACTGCTTGTTTGGCGTGTGCGTCCGTCGTGTCGCTTAATCTGCTCTCGCGGTGCTCCTTAACCGGGTGCTTAGCGTAATTAATCTCCTGTTGCTCGCGGTTATCGGAGCCTGTGGGCATCAGACTTGCGAGGTGTACGGAGGCAAGCAACCACCGGGAGGTGCATTCCAGACTGAGGCATACGGGAAATTGGTGAGGTGTGTTGCTTGGAGGGTCTGGACACCGACAGCTTGTTGTTGTGAATGCCATTGGTGTGATGGTGCCAATGTAGCAACGTGTGTTTGAGAGCATAATTAGTTTTGCCATTTAAGGGTTTGTTGCCTCGTCGTGTCCAATCCAGATCTGCGAAAACTGGGTGCAGTGGCATTTAGGCATGTTAGTATAACAGGTGGTGTTGATTCCGCTCATTGTTCCAGCCTAATCCAAAATCTTTTGCTTGACTGTTGATGTCAGTGTGTCCCGAGAATTTATTTCTTTTTCTTTTGTCTTGATTAACTGAGTTGTTCCCAGTAAGGGACGAAGTGAAATGTTCCTGAAGAAATTACACTAGTTCTTCTTCAGGTTAGCGAAGGATGATAGAAACTTGTTTGGTGGATAATAGTTTGTTGTTAGTGATCACTGACATTTATATTAACCAGATTGCTTTCCCCAATCCTACAGTAGATTTTTGTTTGGGTGCAGTATATTCCAGCTTATCAGGTTGTATGATTAATTAGGCCTGCAGTTTGTGTTGCCTTTACATTTTAAGTAATGATAACTGCTAGTTAATTTTGGAAGATGCCTGTGTCAGTGTTGCCTCTTAAAACATCATTACACGAGTTGAGTGATGCATTACTAGTTTAATGACCTTACAGAAATCGCTGGAGGAACTTAATTTTGTAGTCTTAGTTGTAAAGTTGATCTTAAATTTGGTGTGATGGATCATCCTAGCATTGTTTAGATTCATCACACATTCTTCATAATATGTGCATGAGGATAGACTGCCATACCAGTTAGCCAGTGTCTGTAGGCTTGTAGCCTCCAAGAAGATGTTTTGCCTAAACACATACTGTAGAGATGACCATAGTAATTCAGCAAGCTGTAATTTGGTCAAGAATTTACTATAAGAGTCAGGAACAGATGGCGATCTTGCTTGGTCTCAGTTGTGCAGTTAACCGTAGATTTGATATGAAGGATCATCTTTGCAATATTTTGATTCATTGGACTATCTCCATTTGTCAATAGTAATTTAGCAAGCTGTATTGTGGTCAGACCTACTGCAAAATCCTTAATTATGCTATGGGTTTTAGACTTTCTCTTGTGCTAGGAGTGTTCTCTTTGAATCACGTCCTATCATTAAAGAATAGTTGAATCACCCGGGAGCATCTGTCCTGACAATAAGCTGAATGGTGATATTATCAGAGTTTGAAGTCACTGCTAAAAAGATACAGATGAGTTACCTGTTCCAACTCTGATGCAGACCGAGGGATGAAGTATGATTTAATCAGATGGTCGCATGAAGGGGTTGAATCATCATGGTTTAGATATCTATTTATAACTGCAGTGTGTTTTCAATTGAAACTTTTCTCTGGAACCGTGAATTAAGTATCTTGTGCAATCATATGTACAACTTATTTCTGTTGTCATACAAACAACTTAACTTCTTCTAATAACAATGACAAATCATTCATACCCACACATTATAATACCTTCTGACTTGTCTATTAGCTGCTGGGCTTTTGGGCACTATCGCTGATGCAGTGCTTTGTCTTGATTTCCTGCTGTTTCTTAAAGCATGATTATTTTATATTTTAACTCTGTAAAGTCTCACACATGTTCCTCTTTTGCTCAAAACTACGCAGAACATAAACTTAAATCCTCCAGATTCTAATCCTTCGTGTCTTACATACGGTAGCTTGTACAATAACTTTAAACTGTGATTCAGATAAGGATATCTCTATTTACAGGACAACCTTCCAAAGAACGCCAAAACTTCAAGACTGCCTTAAAGATGTCAAGGAAGACTTTTGACTACCTTTGTTCTCTGATTAAAGGGGACTGCACGAGAAAGACACAAACTTACAGAAATTTCAGGTTTGGGGACAAGGTGATTCTAGGTGTGGAGGATCAAGTCACCATTGCTCTGCTAAGACTGACCACTGGTGAGTCACTTCTGGGCATAGGAACACGCTTTGGGATGAACCACTCAGCCATCTCAAACATCACTTGGAAGTTCATTGAGTGTTTGGAGGAGCGCGCCGCTAGTCATCTGAAGTGGCCTGACCCTGAGGAGATGGCAGCCATCAAAGCGAAATTTGAGAAGATCCAGGGTCTCCCGAACTGCTGTGGCGCTATAGACACAACACACGTCCTCATGTGCTCTTCAGCTCAGCCCAACAGCAATGTCTGGCTAGACGGTGAGAACAGGAACAGCATGGTCCTGCAGGCCATTGTCGACCCTGACATGCGGTTCAGAGATGTCGTCAGTGGCTGGCCTGGAATCTTAGATGACTTGTGCATCCTGCGCACCTCAGGCTTCTACAGGCTCTGCCAGAAAGGCTCAAGGCTGGCTGGGCAAATGGAGCTTCCTGGAGAATCAGCAGGGTCAATGGTCAGAGAATACATTGTTGGGGATCCCAGCTACCCTCTCCTTCCATGGCTGGTGACTCCATACCAAGAGCACGGTCTATCTTCAGAGAAAGTGGAATTCAACAAGTGTCACACCGCGACGAGAATGGTGGTGCAAGGTGCCCTGGCCAATCTGAAGGATCGGTGGCGGGTGCTCAAGGGAGAGCTGTGGAGGCCGGACAAGCATCGGCTGCCCAGGATCATCTACGCCTGCTGCTTGCTCACCAACATCATGATCGACCTTGAAGATGCCGTGAGGGATGGGATGCCAGCGTCCCACAACCACGATGACGGCTACAGGCAGCAGGTCAGCAATGTGGCAGACGACGGCGCCGTCATTCAGAGAGACCTGCTCTGCCAGTATGTCAGTCGGTTCGGCAGCCAATTACCGGAATGATCACGACCATTCCTCTGCCTTTTTCCCTTCTCCCTGACATGAATCCAAGGACATCAACAGCTTGTACAATTGTTGTAACGTGAAATTTGTTTATTTTAGATATGATAATTTTACGCATTATAGTAGACTGAAATAGTGAAATTTGCAGACAATATAAGCTTGTGGAATCTTGCTTTAATATCTCAGCGTAGACATGTACCAAGCCAGGTACTGCGGCCTGAGGTTTCCATCAATCTTAGATATTCTGGTTCCATCAAATTGTAACCGGCCGGCAAGATGCTGGACATCTTGTTTCCTCCTTTTATAGCAACAAGCAGTTGTGAAAGCAAACTCATGTTACTGAAAGAAGCCTGCAGGCCATTCCTGGGTACGTGCTGACGAAATTCCCAGTGGACAAATTACTGATGTTAACTAATCACATCACAGGCATCACAGATTGTGAATTTTCTGTTGCTCACCCGACACAGAAACTGTTTCAGGGCATTGTCCGGTTGCAAGGGATTAAGGCCCTGTTTGGCAGGGCTTCTCCACCGGCTTCAGGAGCCGTTTGAAGCCGTTTTCTACCAAACGGGGTAAAGTAAAATAGCTTCACTTGTGAAGCCCCTAAAAACATGCTCTCACAGTGATTTGAGGTAGGATGGAGCAAAAAAAAAAAAGTGACTTCTCCCGGCTCCTCCTCCAGGGCCCTAAAAACATGCTCTCACAGGGAAGCCATTTTGCCAAACGGTTTACCAAAACCGCTTAAGCTCCACCGGTAGAACTGTTCGTGGAGCTGAAGCAAAAAAAAATGGCTTCACTAGTGAAGTAAAGCCCAAAATGGCTTCACTAATGAAGTAAAGCCGGGGCTAATTCCCCAAGTGGAACCAAAGCCTCCAAAGCATGCAATCTTGTAGATTTCAGGCGGGATTGGTTCCACGACTCTAGAGAAGTGGCTTGATTCCAGGCGGGATTGGTTCCACGACTCTAGAGAAGTGGCTTGATTCCAGGCGGCGGTGAGGGGTTTTCGCGGGGAACTGGAGAAGTGGTCACTGAACACGCCGGGAGAAGCGGGCTACCTGAACTCGCATTTTAGGGAGGAATGAGATTGAATCCAGGCCAGGGTTGGTCCAAAACCGAACAAGGCCTCAACCTGTCTGGTTTATTCTTGGCTTTCAGTAGTACACATCCTAGTCTGAAATAGAATGGGTTCATAGATACGTACTGAATAGTACAAGCGTGGAGCTGCCGATCTGGACTGGAAAGGTATATATACGTATTACTATACTTGAACATTCGTATATAACGAAAAGTCAACGTGAATACATTTGAATATATCTTCCCTTGATTTGCTGGAAAAAGTAGGCTAGATGACTCGAGGATGGTTGTTCGCCTATCACCCTGTAAACTGAACATTTCAAAGAAATACTGCAGACATAACGCACAAGAGAAAAACAAAACGCTTCTGCTGCAATGGGTTACCCCTTGCACGGTGCCCAACTTTTTTATTTTTAGCCCTTTTTAAAAAAAATCATAAATATGTCCCTAAAGATATGATTTCAAAATCTGGACCCTTAGCTCGGCGTCATCGTTGGTGGCGTCGAGCTTACATGTCTCGGCGCCATAGATTCTAGCATCTAGGTCTTGCGCTTGATGCAGACGTGGCGGTGACTTAGCAGGCAGCTTGGCGCCGTAGATTCTGGCGCCGAGCTTGGCGCCAATATCTATGGCGCCGAGGTGGTGTTTTAACCCGGCCCCCAACCTTCCTGCCCGAGCCTTCTTCCTCTTCTTTCTCCTCCCTCTCGGGTTTTTTCTTTCCCCACTTCGCCCTACCTCATGAATCGGTATATTGAACCTTGAAAACTTTGATTTGATCCGTAGATCTTAGAGAGCAAGGTATCCTCGCTCCCCTCCTAGTTTTTTTTCGCAACGATTCGGTATATATTAATCGGATTTTTCAACTTAAGAATCGTCATTACTTAGGGTTTCATGCAATTTTTAATATTTGAATTATACAACCGTAGGATGCCAAGGCGTGCAAAAGCTATTAAACCAAGGTAATCCCAGCTCATGTTGTTATGTTATGGGTTCATTGTTGTGCATCAAATGAGAAACCCTAAGTTTATGGTTTAATGTTAATTGCTTTCGGTTCTTAGAACGAAATTGGTTGAATTATAGTTATGGCCGGATGACCAGAAATGCCTTTGACCTATTGCCTCTGCCTAGTGGTGTTCCAGTGTCTATGTGCTTGTGCGGTGATCCTTGTAAGGTAGCCAAGTCCGATGAAGATGACACGTATAGGCAGATGTATTGGATGTGTTCCAATTTTGTGTTTGAGACTACACTTCGTCAGCGCCGCATTAACAAGATGGTGAGAAATTGATGTTTGTGCCATATGACATCTTGCATGATTTTTTTTGTTTTATAACAATTGCATTTTTTGCAGACCCCTCTACCGCTCTGTGATTTTGAGCAGTGGATCGACACTGAGATCAAGCCTGAAGACTAAGGAATGGATGCAGAACTGTTGCGGTGTGAGGCAGAGGACAAAGAGATGATGGAGAAGAGACACGGAGAGGAGGCTGCAAAAAGGAGCACAAGGAAGAGGAGGAAAGGAGGCGTGTTGCTGCATACAGGGAGGAGAGGGAGAATAAGCTTGAGCGTGCACGCCGAGCGAAAAGCAGCGATGGAGAAGAATTCCGATGCCCTAAGAAAGGGAAAGTGGCATCGTTGCACTCAGTAGTCTTTATGACTTGCTAGTTCTATGGTTTATTCATGAACAATGTTGTCTACTGTCGGCACGTACTTATAGTATTATTGTGTTGTTTAATGTGGTATAGTGTTGGACTTTTCATTATGTAGTTGTTTTGATTATTTGTGGTCATAATATTCAGTATAATATTGCGGACGTAGTGAAATGTGATCACGTGCTGCAAACAAAACCTAACGAAGTAGGACATTATATAATTCAACACACAAAACACATGAAATGACATATGAGAACATGTACCGAACTAGGGTACAGAGTTCCTTCGACTAAACCTAACATGCTTTAGGTAATTAAATCAAACAACAAACACATGGATGTGCCATGTGAATAAGATAGGGTCGTCCTAGTAGTGTGCCCACATAGCAAATTATGTTGCACATTTTCCACAGTAGCCTCCCATTGTTGTTGTTGGTGGTGGCGGGGGTGACGGCGGAGGCCCCCAGTTCTTGTGGTTAGGGCAGGTGCAATATGGATCATTGCAGAGTACCTCCTGTGAATCAGCACCATTGTTGTTGTCGTCCTGTTCGTCGTCCTTGTAACCGCTGCTAACTTCTCTTTCTAGATCGAAGATACGGTCCTGCAGGTAGTAGATGTACTCCGCATGCGGATAAATAGGTCGAGGATCGACCCACCTAGTGAACCCACAGCTTTCTTCGGCCAAGGAAGAGTGCAATAAGTATGTCATGTAAGTTGTATAGAAGAGGAACATATTGAAGAAACAAATAGTAATAGCAATTACCCATATTCGTGGGCATTTGAAGAAACGACGACCTCCATCTATTCCCTCGGTGAACATCTACACTAGGCAGTCCACACCATGCATGCATTTTGGCCACTCTTCTTTCCGTTCACCGCATCCTCTCAGTGGTGCCTCTTTGGTGAAATCACTTTTGCTCTTAACTGGGAACCTCTCATAAAGAGCTTCCTCAAAGAAATCGAGACCAAAAGAAACCTCCCACACAATGGTAGTTTCCTTCCCCTTTTCTCTTCCTCTAGACGACCCTCCAGACATTGGTACTACAACGAAAGAAAATACTAGTTGGGAAGTAAATAGCAATGCATCCAGCATTGCGTATATATAGGCAGAGGCAGGTTTAGTTGCCGTTTCAATGTGTTATAACTGGTCACAAGAAACCTAATTAGTTTCACTGAAGAGTCTATTTCAATGGACACTGAAAAGCCTATATTCGTTTCCTGAAAAGTCTATTCGTCATTGACATGATAAATCACTGAAAAGCCTAGATGCTATAGGTGTACTATGTAAGTGAAGTGATAAATCGCTGCTGTCATCGTACTCCTCGTCCTTGTAACTGAAAAGTCTATTTTCATTGTCTGAAAAGCCTAAATTCGTTCACTGTTACTGAAAAGCCTAGATGCTATAGGTGTATTATGTAAGTTAAGTGATAAATCGCTGTTGTCATCGTACTCCTCGTCCTTGTAACTAAAAAGTATATTTTCATTGTCTGAAAAGTCTAGATTCGTTCACTGTTGCTGAAAAGCCTAGATTCATCTGCAAAGCATCTGTACGATACGATTGGACTATACACGTTCTAATAAATTTATATTTAATCTGTGTACTACATTTGTGTCTTTTTAGCAGTGTAGTATAATTAATGATTCACGAAAAAAATTTGCAAGAGTTTCCCTTGTTTCAGGAGCATCCACAGTTATAAACAGAGACATCATTATATAATCCAAACATTTAATCGTCCAAAGAGCACAATATAACCACATCGAACATTACAATCAATATAACATGTCCTTCATAGTCTGCACACCCAATTAGGATCATTCGCCTGAGGATGTTGGAAGGAGAACCTAGGTGCAGTACACCCTCAACTGCAATGCCATCATCATCATCTCCAAGGCAATGCAGCTCCTTCTGAGTCCTTGCAACCATCTCACTAAATAAAGGCATATTATTGAATAGCACAGGCACGTTTTGCATATCAACAAACTCAATATATCCATAGCGATCGCTTTCAACGGTGTCTCTATGATATATGATCACTAGGTTGTCCATCTAGTTCAAACACGTAACGAAACACATGTTCTTTAGTCCAAATTAGACGATAGATAGTATTTAACAAATACTTTCTAACTACAAACTAAATAAATAAGATAATAATTACGTATATATATACAGTGTACTCACTAAAATAGCTAGATCATATTTAGTTAACTAAATATATAACTACCTATCTAAGTAGCTATCTAACTATATCTATGTACCTATGTATCTATGTTTCTATCTATCTACAAATCTATCTCACTAGATCACTAACTAAATCAAATACCTGAGTCATCATATTAACTAGTAAATAACAAATGCTAAAACTACTACACTATAATCAAAGCTAACTAAGTACGTATATTGCATATTCATAATTTTTACATGTCCGATGACGGAGTTGCGGACGTCGACGGAGTCGCAGCGAACGCCGGGATCGATGGCCCTAGGACGGAGTCGCAGCGGACGCCGGGCGTGGATGAGGGCGACGAGCCGAGCCGGCGGTGGCGCGGCCGGGCACTTCGCGCGGCGAGGCCGGCGTGGGGGCCGGTGCGGGAGCGGGCGAGAGCGCGGTGGTCGGTGCGGGCACGGTGGCCGGGGCAACACGCAGCGGCGGACGCGACGGTGAGGCAGCGGCGGCGGACGCTCGAGAGAGAGAAAGAGAGAAAGGAATGGAGGGCCCATACGCAAGAGCTTGGCGCCAAGATCCACGGCGCCGAGCTGGCTACCATGTCAGCGTCCACGCCGCCAACGTGGCCCCGACCTAAACGCCAGAATCTATGGCGCCGAGACGTGTAAGCTCGGCGCCAAAGAGTCCAGATTTTAAATTCAAACGGACACATTTGTGATTTTTTTTTAAAAGGACTAAAAATTAAAAAATTCAGGCACCGTGCAAACATCTGACGATCATGAAAGGATAGTTTTTGCACTTATAGGTGTGATAATAATAATATGGCTCTCATTCAGACAGTAGAGGGCACAAAAACATTGAGTCGATGTCACCGTAGCTAGCACAGGTGCTTGCTTGTTCTTCTCCATTAAACAGTAGCGACGTGAATATCAGCCTTTGTTTAGGTCACTGAAAAGTTTTCTCAAAAAGTGCTACAATATCTATCACATTGAATCTTGCGATACGTGTATGGAGCATTAAATGTAGATAAAAAAACTAATTACACAGTTTGGTTGGAAATTACGAGACGAACGTTTTGAGCCTAATTAGCCTATAATCAAATACTAACTACTAAATAAAAATGAAAGTGCTACGAGAAACCAAATTTTTAAATTTCGCGAACTAAATTCGCACTGAAAAGGAGTGAAGCTAAACTCTGACAAAACTGAGAGCGCTATGTCATCCCTGACGCCAACCGCGCATGTAAGGGCGCGTTTAGATGCAAAAATTTTTAGGTTTTGACTGTAGCACTTTCGTTTATATTTGGTAATTATTATTTAATTATAGACTAATTAGGTTCGAAAGTTTCGTCTCGCGATTTCTCACCCAACTGTGCAATTAGTTTTTTTTTCTATATTTAGTACTCCATGCATGTGCCGTAAGATTCGATATGATGGGTATTGCGTAAATTTTTTTGGAAACTAAACAGGCCCTAACTGGAGACTGCAGGGTTAATTGTGACAGGTGCATGCATTGCCTCATTTGATGTGACTCAGCGGCATGTAGTAGAAAGTCGCAGGTCTGTCGCTACCTTTCCGCAATTAGCAGTCATCAACTCATCGTCTCTATGGTATACAAATGCTGTTGACTGTCTTGTAACTCGCCGTCACTACAAAAACAGCTGGTGTGTAAAAGGCAAGTAGAGAAGTGAATATTCCCGTAGCGGTCGATCGAGCTGAGGCATTGTTGACCCGTGTGAAACGGTTTCTGTGAAGCAAGGGCTGCAGGGGCTGTTCCATTCCACATCACTTCTTCCCAAGTCAAAATCATCGCGGGACATGGGACGTGCTTTCCAACTGCGCTCTTGACTTCCATGCGCTAAGCTCCCTTGTTCTACTGAATCACTTTGTGGGATCGGATCATCGGAACAGCAGGTCGCTGTCTCTGCCTGCAACATGTAATTATATTACTTTTTTTCCTTACTAGTAACTGCTAGCACTAGTACACAACTCCATCTTGGATTTGGAATGTAAACGGGTAGAAAGAAGAAAATGTGAATTTTCAACGGTTATTCGGTTGCGTCGTGCATCGTGATGATTGTGAATGAATTAGCAAGAGAAGTCGTCGTGTACTCGTGTGTCTCTAGAGCAAGTATACGTACTGCTCCGCTTGGACGACCTACTTTTCCTTGAAATTTCGCGTGGGTGAATGGTTGTTCCGTCAGCTGGCAGTACATGTGTACAAGCGATGCAAGCAACCGGACATCTGTACCACTAACAATTCCACAGGCACCGAGTGCAGAAGTCGCGCGATTAAATATACGGAGCTGACTTTTTTGCAGTAGTGATCGATCGACGATCGTGCACCCAGTGATTGCAGCTAGCTAGCGACGATAAGAAGTGATGCAGCCATGCATGAGCATGGCCCCATGACCTGGCCAAATTAATAAACTACTCATCGGCGGGGTCTATGTGTCGTACGTCATAGATTAATCCAACAAAGAGACCGAGCGTGAGAGAGTTGGATGATTCGTGCCGTGGCCTCGCGTTGCTGAGCCGAGTCGTCATAGTAAGCCCGAGTCCGAGATCTGGTTCAGATTACGCACTCGTGATTATTCGTGGTGTTTGTGTGGAAGATTAAGCAGGAATAGTGGTGGTTGGTGCAACTAGGACCCGTGCACGCCGGCTCCGCACGCAGTGCAGCATGAGTCTTGCAGGCGACGGGCACGCAGTTCAGCCTTTGGGGCACCGGATTTCAACACATGCGTATGATACTCGTGCTGCGACCGACGACATGACACTGCCTGAATCATGCTTAATAGTACGACGAGGACCTATAGAGATCAATCTTTTTTTAATTTTCCTTTGATTTTGAGCGTCTTTCAAAACCAAACAACCACGAAAATATATACATGCACGTGTTTTTATCATGTGTTAGAAAAAAGTTTGGCCAGGTGTGTGATGGGTAGGAGGAATGGGGAAAATGCAGACAGGTGATGAACCTTTCCCTCCCTTTTGTATTAGCAGCTGGGTTCCTCATTCTCAGTTTCTTCCAGTACAAAATTATTGGTCAAATCGTTGTTCGTACGTACGTTTTACCTCCAAGACGGCAAGACCAGGACTGCAATTCTACCTAACGATGCCGGTACCTGATGCAAGCGTCAGTACCTCATCAGTAGTTCAGAATGCCACTGCAGGACCAAAGTCGATCGCAGTTCGCAGCTAGCTCAGCTCTCAGGTTCATTTTTCCGCGTGCTATCTACGTGGCCGGATTAGCTGGCTCGCATACAATAAGCGTCGACGACTGAAGTTAGGTGCATCACCTACTACTACTTGTCGATCGTCGCGAAAAGCCCCCAACGAGGTTTTTTTTAAGGAGATTTTACGACAGCTTTTAGAGGCACCTGGTGGCTGTGGTAAAGCTAGAGCACGACGGCTAACACGTTGACATTTGACTCAGCTATACTAGCTTTTTTTTAGTTGGTGCGAAAAAGATTACTTCACATTCGCGGAAGCAGCTACCTGGTTGCTGCTGCAACTGCAAGGCTGCCTTTTTTTTCCTTTTCTTTTCTTTTTGACGAGTATAAGCAGCATAGTTTTTTTCGTTCAAAAAATATGGCCACGCACGTCGTTCATTTGTTCAAACAACTCCGACGATGGACTGCTTATAATTAATTAAAGCGTGATTGAACATGCATGAATTGGAACAGCATTATTCCCTGTCAAACCAAGTTAGTTGGCATTATGACAACGAGTTACCGGCATCCCAGGCTAGGAAAGGAAGAGCAGTAATCACGTGCGTTGCCGGTGCTGCTCTCGTGTTCTCGCACCCCAAAAAAAAAACAGGAAAATGTGGATGAAAAATTTACCAAAACCATGGGTTGATTGACGATGAAATGATGTAAAAGTTAACGATTAAACAAAACTTTACGAAATGGGGAAGGAGAGCGAGGGAAAATTGGCATGCAGTAGTACTTAAATTGGAGCGGTTCAAGGAAGGCAGAGCTTTATTAATCATTATTAAAACTTCTAGTAGGTCGTTCGCCCTCTTTTTTTGAATGCGAGACTTCTGGGTCAGATAATCCACTGGTCCTGACAGGAATCAGTGCGCAGAATTGCAGTCATATAGTCACACACTGACGGCACTGTACGTTCTAGAGGATGTCGATTGTTCCGTGCGGCCAGTCGATCGACCCAATAAATGTTAAATGAAATTGAACGTACTGTTTGTACCCCGATGGAGGAGTCACCAAGACACCAACCGGCCATCGACGGAGATGGAGGTGTCAAAGGCGTGCCCGCTCGAGAGCATCCGTCGCGGCAGAAGTAAAACATGGCGAACGGACGGACGCCACCCACCACGTACAAGCGCGCACGTCACCCGATCACCGCGCAGCCTCTTTACTCTAGAAGAGCAAGCGTCAGTAGTCAGTACGAGCCGGGGTATAGTATAGGTATAGCCACAGCGTGATCGACACACACATGTTGACTAGGACATCACGACTCACGAGGGGTGTCTGACGATAGTACCGCACAGTCACACACACAGCTGTGGTCAAAGTACAGCTCTCGGAATAGTACACACATCCACGTCTAGAAACAGACCAAAACAGAGATTGGGTCGTCTCAGTAGAACCATCACCAGGTATAGACGCTACTAGCCACTAGGCGAGTCGTGCCGCATTCATCCTGCGTAGTCCGTGCAGGGCAGGCGGTCTGAAACGGACGCCGGCAGAGCTGGAACCCAGTTCCCCGACGCCGCCATCCGCTGCATATGCGCACAGCTGATGGCCTGATGCTATATATAGGAGCCCCTGCGTCCCCATGCCTTACACACAACTGCCGCACGTTGCCCGGTCGCTTTTGCGTGGTTTTGGGGTAACCAGCTAGCTATCCAGCCGATGGCCAAGAGGGAGAGGGCGGCGTGGGAGGTGGAGACGGGCGCCGCGGAGACGGCCCGCCTGCTGGTGCTCCTGGCGCAGGCGCAGCAGCAGCACCTCCTGCAGCAGCACGCCCACCACCACGGGGTCGGGGTGACGCCGTTCCCCGCGGGGCGCGCCGCGCACGGGCGCGTGTTCGAGTGCAAGACGTGCAGCCGGCAGTTCCCCACGTTCCAGGCGCTCGGGGGCCACCGCGCCAGCCACAAGCGCCCGAGGGTGCTCCAGCAGCAGCTGCAGCAGCAGACAATCGTCGCCGATCACACGGGGCTCTGCCTCGGGCGCCAGCCGCTGCAGCTGCAGCTGCCGCCGCCGCCGCCGCCGCCGCAGCCGGCCAAGCCGAAGGTGCACGAGTGCCCCGTCTGCGGGCTGGAGTTCGCCATCGGCCAGGCGCTCGGCGGCCACATGCGCCGGCACCGCGCCGAGCCCGAGGCCGACGCCGACGCCGAGGCGCCCAGCAAGGTGATGCGCCCACCGCCCGACAAGGCCTGCGACGTCGCCGGTGGGATCTGCCTGGACCTCAACCTCACGCCGTCGGAGAACTGCGCCAAGTGCCGGAGCGTGGTGGTGCTAGGCGCCGCCGGGCAGGGTGTACATAAGACGCTCGCCATGTTAGATTGCTCGCTCTAGTAGTTGAGCCTTCTTCATTCCGTTAGACTGCACATAGATGATAGATCTTGTTCTTTCATATATGCATTTTCTGTTCACTAAGGCCTTTGATACGCATGTATTCATATCAATTCACGTGTGTTGAAGTGGATTGGAGTGAAATTAAACTATTGTGTTTATAAAGATGTTATTGGTCAAGTTTAATGTTTTCTTGATTACATCCTTTTTAACATGCCTTTTTTTTTTTGAACGAATGCTATATGTTGATGACCGCAATAGTGCCAAGCATGCAGGTTCAGTTGTAAGGCTGTCAGAACTTCCCAGTATCTTCAATAGGTCACAGAATACACCAAAATAAACGCAAGAAAATGGATAAAAAAAAGCAGAATGGGTTAAATAAACGCAAGAAGATGAATAAACTAATGAACATGAATTCGTCCAGTTTAAAGTGCAAATAGCATGTGTTCATACCAGTTAGGGTTGATTTGGATTACCCCGTTCTCCATGAAGATTGAAGGGGAACTGATCTAATTTTTCTCCATAATCACCTCCAATTAATCAAAACTTAGCGTAGCCACTAAAACGATAGCTTTTCGCCTTTTGGACCCTTAGCTCTCCATGATCTAGGATCTACATGCTATTTTTTTTCAGATCCCTAGCTAAAACAAACAAAACCTTAATTCCTTTACAAATTCAACTTCAAACTCAAATAAATATTAGGGGTCCTTTCATTTTGAGGAATTGAAATCTACTTAATAAATTAGTCTATTTGGCTTAAAATTTGACATTTCACCACTTTCTAAAGTTCACGTATAAGACTATCTCAAATTCATAGGGTGGGAAATGAAAATTGATTTTATAGATTACCACTCTATGTTTCTACTTTGCAAATTATAACACGCTCTTCAACTTACTTCCTTATGGTAGAAATGCAGCACATACGTATCTCTCTCGTATAACCAACAATAATAAACAAATATAATCCATATATAACCATATTAGCTTAATTAGTATGTGTCTAAATTATGATTATTAAAATAAATTGAATTACAAGGATCCAAACGGGGCCTTAGCGATTTTTTTCACTTTACTCTTGATTTATAATATCAAGATTTTCAATTTCCCGTAATTATTAAAAAAATGAACTTGAAAATTTACATCAACATGGAGAAAATGAGTAAATATGTTCCTCTTAGAAAGTTTCAGTTAGATTCGGTGCCAAAATCCAAGTTGTGTTGCAATCACTTGATGTGTTGCCCCGATGAAAATCCGCATCATTTAATTATCATTTATGTTTAATGAAGCAAAGAGCAAAAAAGAAAAGCAAGAAAACCATCATGTATACTACAGCATTGGGAAAGGGACTGTTATAAATTGAAAAGAAAAAAAACTGTGCTAGCCATTCCATCAGTTGCTGCAATCATTCGACTACGAGCAATACGCAATGCACAACTATCTTTTTTCTAATAAATAAACAAGAACGAGTGAGGGTGCTTAACTACCAATTGCGATATCATCTTCAACAATCATGTGGTGCGGTCAAAGGTTTTAGATTGTCAATGATCCAAACAATTGGCATACTCTAGTTAAAATAACCGGTCTTATAACATGTGCTGTCAAATTATTTTAAATATAACCTGTGGCATTCATATGTAATTAATCAGGTCAACCATTCGACAAAGATTGATCTGCCTCAAAAAGTGTTTCTGCAATATCACAATATTTTAAGATTTGTAGATCAATAAATGACTTATTATTTATATAACAGGCTTAGGGAAACGACTCGTTATGCACTAAAGAAATATGATGCTAATGTTGAATACAAAGTTGAGACAAGTGACAATGTAAAACAAGGTCTCATTGGAGGTAGAGTGTTTATTGTACTTCCCCCATTTTAAACTGTAAGGCATAGTTTTTGCTCGGCCTAGTGTCCAAAGTTATACTTTAACCTATATAACCTCTTATACTATACAATGTTTCTAGGAACAAAATCATAACCATAAGATAATGCTTTGTAATACAAATCGAATACACTTTTATGTAACAAAGTTTACATCTTTGCAGGATAGTTGTTAGTTGAAATTACAAGATTTGAATCTTAAATGCATGTGTGCCTTATAAAGCCAAATGGTGGGAGTACCTCACATCAATTTAATGACCAAAGAGAGCTCGTATATAAGAGTTGAACTTTAAATCATGTCCTGAAATTTTAAATACAGCGGCATATGATGCCAAATATGTTATGATGCCAAGCCAATCCATCTGGTCTTTGCTGATGTCTTTCTCATTGATTATTCGATGTTCAGATGGTCTTGAACACCACACATGCACATATAGATACCAAGAAAGGACCATACCTCTAGACAGTGTATGCTGCATTGCATGAAGTGAACTACATTACCTGATTTATCTCTATACCTTTGAATTCTCACCATATTTGACTAGTACGGGATGAGATACTATCCTTGTCTACATGATTGGTTAATGCAATACACTGCTAAAAAAATATGAACAAGCCATTTGATTACTACGTCTGAAAATGGTTAGGTGGTCTCTAGACAAATGCCTGACTCTATTAATCATTTACAAAGGCGGGCGTGATCTAAAGCTCTGTGATAGATTTTTTATTTGTGATCATGTAGAGACTAAAATATTCAATATAAGATTCCTAAATGTTGATACAAAATGATAGCATTAGAGCATCTCCAATAGACTCTCCATATCCTTCCTAAATATCATGAATAAAGATTTTGGTGAAAAACTACCCTCCAACAGCTCCTCTAAATGATTATCCAAATATAGTCATCTTCTATTCCGGATTTTTCGCTAGCAAAAAATAGAAGACAAGAATGACTCTCTAGAGGGCGCATGAGATTTAGAAGAACTATTAGATAATGAAAAGATATAAAAAACGATTTTCATGCAAATGACTCTCCAAATGATGATTTAGAGAGTGAGGTTTAGAAAGGCTCTTGGAGATGCTCTTAGGCGTCATCTGGGTGGGTTGTCGAAGTCAGGTGAGGCGGCATCAAGCGACGTGGTCGGTGTGGGTCCCGTCAGGCAGAGCCCAGGAGTTAGGTGGGGCACCATTAGGAGTCAGGGGTGAGGTGGTTGCGTCAGACGATGGGACAATGGAGTCGAAGGTGGGCCAAAACTTCTAGTTGTATACGTAGGGCTGTTTGGTCTCCTCAGATGCCTCGTAGAGAGAAATAAGGAAGAAAAAAAAAAGAAAAACCCGAAATCAAAAGAACTTGTAGGTCCAAAGTTGTATTTCGACGTGTAAATTGAGTCTTAAAAGAAGTGAGACATGCGAAAATGTTAAATATCGAAATTTCTTGTAAAGAAGAAGCTTGTTCATCACTAACAAAACAAAAGGCAACAGACAATCAATCGCATCGCAGCTTTGACATGCGTATCGTATGATAACTTTTGATAAGTTCATATACCTGCAAATCCACACAACAGCAAGCAAGCCACTGTGCCACACTATTCATAATCCGCTATAATTCTAGCAAATGGAACAAATAGTCCACTAACAGTAACAGCTCGCATAGTCCGCGGGAGCCAGCCGGCGGCGCAGCCATCGCGCTCGCAGACGGCCACCTCGACTTTCCACAGATCCCAGCGACACGCAGGCGAAAAACAGGCAGAGAGAAAGAGAGAGTCACGAAACCATTGCGGCAATCGAAGACGCATCGGGCGGAAGCGCCAAATTTTTAGTTGCCGATGAAGCGGGGTGGATTTGTTCGAAGGGAATCGTGGGAACGGGGAACCGAACAATCCATTCACAGGCACAGCGGGGTGGATTTATTCGGAGGGAATCGTGGGAACGGTTGGGTTGTGTATGGGCCTATGGGGGTTGGGCTTGTGCATGGGGTTTGCGCCGCTGCGGTTTTCCTGGTGGATCGTGTATGCTCCAGATCATGGGCTGGGCAGCCACTTTGATCGATGATGGGTCTCGGTTGGTCGATTTGCAAGTTGCAGACTTGCAGTGTTGCTCGAGCCTCGAGCTGCCATATCGTGACGGTGTGTTTGTGGTAATAAAACCAAAAAAAGAATGAATTACCTAACCTTGGTGCATGTCGACTTCACACCAACTCACATCGTCAACGCTCACCAACACCACTATGACGCGGCAGCAATGCATGCTTATGTTTTTCTCTACAATTAATAACCTAACCTTTTCGAAAAATATATATTTATATGGTTATTCGTTTTTATTTACTCTCTGTCCTAAAATATAAGAATTCAGTTTTGTCATAAGTCTAAACATAATTTATAACTTTGACCAAGTTTATCGAAAAGAAGGAAAATAAGTAGTACTACAAATTAGCTTAATTAGATACATTATGGAATATATTTTATAATATACCTCATTAATGTGGTAAATGTTAATATTATTTTCTATAAATTTGGTCAAAGTTACTATATTTTGATTGATCATAAAATTGGATTCTTTATACTCCCTCCGTCTATAAAAGAATACAACTACGATGTCCGTGACTGTTAAAATAGCTTAAATTGACCAAGTTTACAATGAATATTATTTACGTTTATGTCTCAAATTAGTTTACTATGAAAGTATATTTCATATAAATCTAATGATATTTTTTCTATCATAACTGTTAGTATTTTTTCTATAAATTTGTTCAAACTAGAAATCGTCTGGTTTCTTGAAATACAAGAATTGTATTTTTTTTTTTATGGATGAAGAGAATATTTTAGGACGGAGGGAGCAGTGACGTTGCTTGATACTCAGTACTCATGGGCTCGCAGTCGCTGGGTAACGATCAAACGGGCGGTGTTAGGGGCAGATCATTCTGTAATCTGTGTGACCTGCTGCGTGCTACGCTGGTAGACGAATAAAACTGGTACATACATGCAACGCAAGACTCTTCCACTTGATCACAGCTAACTAACTGCTTTCCAGCCCATGCTTCGTCAAGCCACTCCAATTCTATTTCTACATCTAGAGAAAGGCACACGAAGGCATGGAAATATCCTATGAATACTCCAAAGCGAAGCAAAGCATGGAACAGGAAAAGGGGAGAGGTTTCATGTGCTCTAAGAATATGCCAAGGAAGATACCTCATTTTGGCCTGTGAAAAGGCAGCCCACCACCTAAGCTTCCACTCGCCGGAAGAAGCCTCAAGCTCTCCTATATATGCATCCTCATCCAACATCTTCCATGGAGGACCCGTCACCAGGGTGTCCCTCTCTAGTTTCTACCCCCAACATTGGCCCGACGCAGCTGCCATGTAGCCCATGCAGCGTTCCCCCTCGGCTTCACCGGCGACGGCGGAAACTACAACGGGTGCTGACGGTGGTGCTGGTGCCCTGTTGATAGGGCAGGGCAGCTGGCGTTCGGCCATGTAGGGCAACTATACATCTTTGGCAGGTCTTCATCTTCCGTGGGAATATGGCAATGGAGTGCGTGTATACCAGGGCGGCTCTGGTGAGTCACAGTGGGAGATGCAATATCATGTATCCATTATCTTATCTTTATTACAACAGCAATAATGAGAATTATTAGTGAAGTGTACCTTGGGCCCTTGGGGTGCACCCGTGCAGGCCATTGTACATGTCTGCGGCGACAAGTCACGTTCTGTTGCCTTTCAGATCTTCCCAGCCTCTTTGTGAAGGCTCATTTAATTAATTGGGTATATTTGTGTATATGCTCCACTCGAATTTAATGGAGTATATGTTGTACTCGATATTCTCTGATCATAGGACACGCACAATCATTATTGACAACAAACGGCAACATTTTTTCCAACCGAGACATCTCATTTCCATTAAACGGAGCTAACGGAAATACAGAGTTTGGAGGAACGACAGACAGAGAACCTCATGAACATAGAACTACCAGCTTGAAATTACCTACTCTCTGTTTCAGAGCACCAGAAACTTGACTTCCCACTAAGATCTTCTACTCTCTTAGCGAACGTACGGGCGGTGCAGGCGGGGGGCGAGGCTCCGCTCGCGTGCGTGCCGATTCCCCGCGCAGAGCGGGGCGAGGCGGCTGCCGGTTTAGGCCCGCGGCGCTGGGTGGCCGGGCGGGCAGCGCCCCAAGCCCCCAGGCGGCCAGGCCCCAACCGTAAACGCAAGGAGGTACGACTACGACCGGTGCAAGGCGGCGGATCGGGAGAACTCGGCAGTCGGCACTGGGCGTGGGTTAGGATGGAAAAAAAGTTCGTGGGGGACATCTCACAACCTTGAGAGTTGATAGATAGGCCATGCTATCATTTTAAGCATACCGGATGATAAATTAGATACCTTATAGGCCACACGGCAGTCATACATCCACACCGTGTTTTCGTGCGGACGGTCCTCACCGAACTGTGGGGGAAAAGAGATGGTTGCGGAATTTATCTCAATGGCAAATGCGGGTAAATAACGCCAAACTAGACGGGGAGATACATATCTGCTATAGTGGGGTTAGGAATGAAAACCGACAAAAAAATTTGCAATCTAATTGACACAGTTTCTGCTTTTTTACCCGAACGTCTTACATTTCCTCGGAGAAACACAGAGTCAAAAGGAACTTATTAGGATCCAAAAACACAAACAGAAAAAATACCAATGTTTTTTCAACCATATTGTCATATCCCTTTTTTAGTAAAAAAAACATTTTACTCGTTATAAGAAACTTGTTGGCCAAACCGCTTGGTCTATGCTAGTGCCAGGATCTGATTTGTTGCTTACATTAGACCTCTTGAGAGTCTAATTGATTACTCACATTAGACCTTATGCAGCATAACCTAGGCCCATGTAAAGTCATGTAGTGTCTTAGTGTTTGGCTGTTCCGCACACGCAAAACCGTGTTTGATTATTTACATTTTGTTGCATGTAGTTACCTCCAAGTTTTAGTTGAGAACTCATGTTTCTAATACTTCACTATGGTTGTACTAGGTACAGTTGCCACTCAACTTTCTAACAGGCGCCACCTGACTTCCCAGTGTTGTTCCAACTCCTCTTGTAGTCATCAATATCTCTTCTCATACTCCAACTAATGGGGATCCTGATGGATTGGTAGTGGAGTGGGGTGGTCCCTTTAGTGAGAGTTTTTATCACATGGCTATGATATGTTGCATCTTTAGGCCAGGTTTAGGGGCCTCCAACAAAGCCTTGTTTGGTCTTAGGCCATTATTCGAGGATGATGATGCCTCAAGCACTACTCCCTCCATTGAAGGCAACATTGTGACCCCCCCTCCCCCCTCCCACTTAAGCCTTGTTTGGTTGTGCATGTAGTCATCTCAATCCACATGTGTTGAAGTGGATTGTAGTGGAATTAAACTAAATTCCATTCCATTCCACTCCAACACATGTGGTTTGAGGTGAATACATATGCATCCAAACAAGGCCTTATGGAGATCCTCATGGTGGAAACCATGCTTTGACTGAGCAACGGTAACAGTTTCGTGCATCAGTTCCTTGTTAGTATTTCTTCGATGTTGTCCTATGGTAGTTTTGGGCTTTGTAGTGTGTTGGGGAAGTTGGAGCTATATGCTATCATATGGTAGTTTTGGGATTTGCAGTGTATAGGGGAAGTTGGAGCTATAAGCTATTGCATTGCCATGGGTACATTTGTGCTTGCTAATTATGATAGGTGCATGGCCTAGCTCATTCTCCTTAGTGGAGTTTTGGCTTTAGTGGTGTTTCCTGGTGGGTTATCGTAGTTCTTTTACGATGGTTGTGCAGCGAGTTGTTGCTTCGGCACTGGCATAGGTAGGTCGCTAGTACGGGCCATGCCACCTCTCTGTGCCCCAAACATGTGAGAAAATTTTCACCATATCCTATATAATATGTATTCTAAACCTAATTAGTCCTATATCATAACCCTAGAAACTTATAGCTACATGTATGAATGTTAGAGTTTTAAACATTTAATGTGTTTTTATACCCAATGATGAATTTTTTAATATACATACAATTACTGGTCTTAGCTATATTCAAATAGTCCAAAGCAACATCTATCATTCATTGACTAGCCCCCCCCCCTGGCACCCACCCCCTATGTAGTAGCACATAGTCCCTTACTCAGTCATTGTGCTTTGGTGAAGTCGTTGTCACACGAGTCTAGTTATTAGTTGTTTCGGTCGTTATGCCAAAGTTGTCAAAGGGAAGGGTGGTGCACTCCTCTATTTATAAATTTTTTAGAGCATCTCCATCTGTTTTTCTTAAACCCAATCTCTAAATTCTTGTTTGGAGAGCCATTCTAAATTTCTAATAACATTGCTCTCTGTATGTCTTAACACTTCGATAACTTCTCTATATCTTATTAGGTAATTTGGAGGGTAAGCTTTGCTCTCTATCTTTGATGAACGAGAAACCAAGAAAAGAAAATGAGAATATATTTGGAAATATAGTTGAAGAGGTTGTTTGGAGGGAATTTTTCACCAAGATCTTGGAACATGCCGTGGCTACCCAGTTTATCTTGAGAAAATCTAGGCAGCACGTAACCTTTTTGTTTGTTCCCTTCTATCTAATAAACATTGCTGCAAGGTTTTTACCGTCCATTCGGAACTTCCTTTGTCCTCACAGTTTTTTTTTCATCTGTATTTGGTTTCTTTTCCCGACTTTGACACCAAAATTTTGGCGATGCACACGAGCGGATGGACACCAATAATTTGTAGAAGCGTGGGCTTATTATGATGGCCCGGTCGATCGAGCCATGTGAGCAGCCCATGTGAGGCTAGACACGATGGCCAGGGTTTTGGACTCTACTAACATGCACGGGTTCCCTCTTTAGTTATAGTCGCTGCCCTTCTTGTTCCTTTTCTGGCTGCATGAGCCTCCAGCTCGATCAGGTTGCAGCACCAAGAAAATAAGATTAAAAAAAAGATTCCATTGTGATAAGAGTACACTGAGTGCAAACCCGGGGAAATGTTTGGTGGATTTTACACATATTGGACTAATCACTGATGATTTGCTAGCTAGTACTGAAACAATTAAACAAACTATTGATTCGCAAATGTTATCACAGGAGGAACTCGTTACCGTACTCGCATATTTTCTTACACGGTGGGTGACCACTACTCTGTCTGTGATTGATTTCGTTGGCGCGCGGATTCCTCCTTTCGGTTTGCACGTGGGTCTCAGTTACAACGCCAGAACAGATCACATCATCAGTGCAGCACTAAACCCAATAAAATTGGCGGGGTCGGTCCTACGATTCCGGTACATACGGTTCACGAATACCATTTGTTTACCTAGCAGGAAGCTTCGTGGAGACATCGTCTGCGTACAAAAAATGCGCAGGAATTCATAGACACTACACTCGCCTGGCAAGTCAGCAGACAGTGCGTGCCAAGTTGATCGTAGTTCGCTGTTCGCAGACCAAGTTGATCCCAGTAGGCAGCAGGGCTGCAGGAATCACACGCTGATGATCAGGACGACGAGATGAGCACCAATTCAGCACGACGAGATTTCCTCTGAAGATCAGGACGAGCGCCTGATCGATCCATCCCCTGACGAAACGAGGCAGGGCCATGCAGACGCACGTCTGAACGACTGCACGTGCATTTTTCACAAGTCAGCGCCCTTGGGAAGTAGAAACTGTCAGACTGTCGGATCCGAATATGCATAGGCTGATAGGCCGGTGTGGACGTACGAGTTACTGTACTTAGCTTCGTACCACGAGATGCTGGACTGTTCATGGGGGGGAAAACATTGTCCCCTTCGCCACCATGCGGTCGGCAGGCTATATATAGGCGCCATTTCTTCTTCCTCTGCTCACAACACAAGCAGGTAGTTCAAGCGCTCCTCTCTCTGCCTAGTGAAACCAGAACCAGCCACGCGAGGGCGAGCCCGTGCAGTGCGTGTTGCCAGCCAGGCTGCAAAGATGTCGCAGAGGTCAGGAAGGCACCAGAGGCGGGCGTCGCAGAGCGTGTTCGTGCTGCCGGAGAACTTCGCCCTGGAGGACGTGCCGGCGGCCGTGGCCGAGGGCGGCGGCGTCGAGCAGCGGAAGCCCGCGGCCGCGGACGGCTCCGAGCTGCAGGCGGCGAGGCAGGCGGGGCGCCACCGGCGGGCCATGTCCATGGCCGTCGCCTCCCGGGACCTGGAGATGATCTCGGAGGACATTGGGAGCTACAAGTACGGCGCGTAGAGACCGCACGAGGTGCTGTGTTGTGTGTGCTTGCCTGCTTGGCTGGTACGTGTTCCTCCGGACAGGCGGTGATTCTCGGGCCGTTAGGTGCAGAAGCAAGTTGGCTGTACTCCGACCGGGTCCGGTGTCCTCTGTCCTGTGCTGTCGTTGTTTTCGTGATGTATCGATGCTGCTTCTTCTGTCAATGCGTATTCGCTTTCTTGTTCTTGATCTAGAGTGACTACACAACACTCGGTTGAATATGTTTTATTCAATCAACCAGATTTTCAACCAATCAAGAACTGACACGTCACAACTCAAACTGATTTAAAAACTGGAAGATACGAAGGAAACAACCAGATTTTATTAAGCCGAGCACAATAAAAAAATGATTGAAATACTAAAACCCTAACATGGCGCCAGCTGATTGAAAAACTGCTAGGACTAATGGTAGCAGTACAAGTTAGCTTCAGGACTGTTAGCGCCTCCGTTCCGAGATGTAGTAGAAAGATGCAGATAACGCTTGAGACTTCGTACTCCTGGAACATCGAACATGCATGTCGATCACAGATTCACAGCAATATTTGCTTCTGACATTAAGTTTAAACTCACACATGACACGCCTGGCAGACAGATCATACTGCAGCCGTGCAGCGGTGCAGCCTGCAGGGCCGGACCTAGCGCCCCCATGTACATACATGAAAAAAAAAGTAGTACATGCCTTTCGTCAGGGGCGAACGAACCCACCCAGTGCTCTACAGCCTGCTGGGTGATCCAAGTGGTCGCTGCAGTTGGTCGACGCCACGGCGGAGAGCTCCAGCTTCCCCGTCCAGTCCTCACCGGGCTTCAGCGTGAATGCGTGATGACCCTCTCAACCGCCGCCGCGTCCAAGCACAGCATCTGCTTGTACTCGTCGTCGCCAAAGTCTGTCATCGTCTTGGACTTCTTCTCCCAGGGGTTCCACTTCCACACAACTGAATGCAGCCGCTCAAGATAAAAGTGCAGGAACACGGTTACGAAATTGTGTTATCTCGTTCGACGAGGCAGCAAAAGCGTATCACATCTTACCAATATCAGGAAGGCCTTCTTTTCGGACGATGAATGTGCGTTTCTTTTCATGGTCAAGAACAGCTATTATGCCTGGGCAGCCAACATAGACTCCATCAACCTGCACCAGTAGTTCCACCTTCAGGAACAATTAACGAGAGAGACTCAACAGCAGGCAAAACAATAAGCAAATAAGCAAACTTTGACGAGCTGAGCTTCAATAAATCAATATGCTTGACTTGAAACTAATTTCAGACACCACTCTTCGAGCCTTCGTCTAAACGAAAGAATTGAGCAGTGGGGCCAATTCAAGCTTGTTGCAAGTTCCCAGATGGCAACTGCCAGTTAAATCTCAAAAAGTATTTCAACCGAGACAGGGGAGCTAATTTTGTGGAATTAGACATTTCGTAAGCAAGGTATACTGACCAATTAGGTAACCCAATGAGATTTGATGTCAAATTCAGGTTGCTTCATTCTAAATTTGCATGAACATTGTCAATTTACAGCACAAATTTCACGTCTACAGTTTATAGAAATCTGAAGGTGCCTTCTGGTGGGAAATGTGATAACCAAGAAAAAAAATCAAAGATTCTAATAGTTACTTCTATTTTTTCTCCCATTAGTTTTGCACTGAAACTAATGCCACTGAACAGAGAAAAAAACATAGAAAAAGGATTTAGCAGTTCTAAATCTTAGGAGGGGAGCATAGATAGTCCTTTGGTCCAGACATGTTACCAAGCAAAATCACTACTGATTCATAGATGGACAAGGAAAACATTCATATGCAACAAATTCATGAAGGTTATGCAGAGTAACATACAACAGTGTACTGAAAAATCAAACTGAAACAATAAATAATGTCATTGCCATAACAATCAGTTAAACAAGTATTCAGATAAATGGTTGGACCAAAATTAGACTCCCAGAAACGCTTAAAATACAAACCATCTAATTATCCCATAGTAGTAATGAACAGGTCCAAATGCCTACCCCAGCACCAAATAACCAACCTTCTTAAGCCACAACGAAGATCTAATTTAGCATGATAGAGTACCAAAATTATAATATTAGCTTTAGGAACCAACCATGTGGGACACCAAATACGAGTACAACCTAATTGTGATGCACAAGAACATATCAATCCAATGGATTAACCATCACTCAATGAACTGAAACTAAAAGGAACATTAATACTGAAACACTGACAGTCAAAAAACAAAAAAAAAATGAAACTAAACAAAACAACAATTTCTAAAACTGAACCACTGGGCATGACCTTAGAGAGTTTACATATTCTTTTTTGTCTTGGTGCTGCACCAATAGAAATTAGATAGCATCAATGCATTAAAAAAAGTACATCTGTAGCAGCATATTGCCATCTTGTTTTCACTACTATTTTTCCTTATGTTTTTTCTCTCTCTAAAACTTATGTGGGCTACCTTCCCCTTGATACCGCAAAGGACATGACACATTCATTTGGAAAACAGAGATAGAGGCAAGTATACATCTAACAGTCCGTGGTTCTTCTAATTGTCAAGGTCACACACCTCAACTAGTGAAGTGTCGACCCTAGGAACAATTAGGAAATTGTCAAACAACAAGGAGAGATGGACAATGCCTAGACATTGATACAAATAGTTTCATTTCATGGTCTCAGGCCAAGATTACAACACAACAGGGAGAGATGCGAGCTACTCCCTCTATCCTAAATTATAAGTCATTATAATTTTTTTGGAGAGTCAAAACATCTTAAGTTTGACAAAATTTATTTAATAAAATAATAACTATACTAAATAAGTATCATTAAATTCTTTACTAATTATATTTTTATAATATATATTTGATATCATAAATCTTTGTAATCCTTTCTATAATTTTGATTAAACTTTAGAAGCTTTGACTCTCCAGGAGAGTTAGAATGACTAATTTGGAATAGAGGAAGTAGCTAATTAAAAACAGTAAGCACAGTAATTTGTAACATGCCGTGGTCGACGGGGGAAGCGGAGACACCACAATCTGCAATCTTCTTTGCAAGCAAGGAGAAGATGGTCAGGTTTAGCAGCTGCCTACAAAATACAATTTCATGACGACGTTTGGCAGTGCTTCAAGCTTTTTAGATAGAATCTGAAACATTTTTACCTGCCAAACGTTCTCTTAATAGAACTGAAAAATATTAGGGAATTTGATGTTTCTACCCCTATTCCAGATCGCAATGGTGATTTTACCCTACTTTTTAAACTTTGTAATTTTGCCATTGTGATTTTGAAACAAAGCATCTGTTTACCCCCGTGTTCTGTGAAGAAAAGCTGGATTTTGATTCATGAGAAAAAATATATTCTTAAAAAGTAGTATCGATAAAAAATATGTTTAAAACTTCTAATTTTTTATATGCAAAGAAAAGCTTAAATATAATTCATTTTAATTTGTTTCACTAGAAAAGCATTATATAACTAAAAAAGGATAAAATTGTTAGGACGTAGAGAGGCAAAAGAAACGGAGCATAATTGCTGCGAAACCAGCCTCCTGCCAATTCAGAAGCCAAAGCAAAAAGAGTGAAACATTTCTCGGCTAAAACATTTCGCTCCCACTCTATTTGGTGCAGATTTTTGTGAGAATGGAATCGATTCACAGGGAATTTTTTTTTGGGTGAGGACAGTTCTCATGGAGCAACCATTGGCATCCATCCTAATTCATGACATGTGTCTTTTTTTTAATGAAAGAAGAATTATATTATATAATAGCTGGGTACATCAACACGTTACAAGCACTCTGGGATACACTACATGTATCTAGAAACTGATTTTTATCTAAATTGTACCCACGCTGTGAATAGGTCCAAATCTCAAAACCAAACATGTATGACGCTTCGTATGGATGACCGCATAGGCAAATACTCGGCAAAAAGCCTGAGAACAGATGCCCAACGAATGACGGCCAACATTCCTGCAGGCGGAGTTGAGAAACTTCTTCTTTCTTTTGTCTTCCTTCTTCTTCTTTCTGCCACTGAAGAATACGGAAGACTGATCTAAAAATTATTCTCCCTAGTCCTTTATCGTGGCCAGATCTAACCACGACAAAACGAAGAAGAGACCGGAGAAAATTATTCCATGATGGCGACATCATCTCCACCTTGATGTCGCCGTCCGGAAAGAAAGGTCCCCATGTCGCCACGCCGATGAAGTTGCTGACGCCGTAGTTGTCGTCCTCATCTTCAACATAGCCGTCATAGAGAAAACGATTCCACCCTTCTCCTTCGCCGTCGCTGGAGACAAGGAGGAGGAGATAAATCCCCAACACCAAAAATTTTGGCATGGAGATACCCTAACCCTAAAAACTCGATCTACTAGAAAACTTTATTAAAAACGATGGATCCCCACTCCCTTCCGGCCTCCGGTGAGATATCGGAGGTGGAGGAGGGCACCAACTTGGTGGAAGAAGAAAACGGGGCGGCGGGCGGCGCAATCGCTTTTAGGGCAACTCCCTCAGCGAGCACATCTGAGAGACGACGCGCAGGTGTATACGCATGCATCCAACTATTTCTCATAAATTTAAGCAACGGTTTTATGTGCTAGATGCATACGTATGGACACATGTCGTAAATCCAGGGTGGCGAAGCCACGTTCAAGAGTCGGGGTCGGTTGACACCGACGAATTTTCCGTAATCCCTTACACCCAGTGATGAAATCATAACATATGGGTATGTTAAGCCTCGAGATTAATGGTTCTCGACCGACCCCTCCATGATCGCCCCAGGGATCGGGGGCTAAACCCATCGTACGCTCACGCGCACCCTCCGACGAAGAAACTGTATTCCGAGACGAGAGGGCGGCGCGGGCTGCTTGAGACGTTGCCCCGCCGCGGAGCTCGGGGCTCGCCTCAACGGCCTCGGGGCCTCGATTGACGACATCGTCGGGCCTTGGCCTTGGCTCTGCCGCCGACGCCAAATTGATAGCTTGACGCCATGGCTTGGGCGC